GTATGAAATTACAAAAAGTTATAAGAAATAACAAATTTAGATCAAATAACGAGGAAAATTCGAGACGAGCACGAGTTTTTACACTTTCCGGAAGCAATAACTTGCTTCATTTTCGTCAAATTCGAAAAGTTAATATGGCAGACAAAACTAGAAGATTTTCTCTACCAAACCATTGCTAAAGCAGCTCTATACGTCCAGTATTCAAAAAATGGCCACGTTGAGGATTTTTGCAAAATTAACGAGGAAAATTTGTGATGAGTGCGAGTTTTTTTACTTCCTAAAGCCATAACTCCGTTCAAACTCATCCAATCCGAAAAGTAAATACGCCATCATAAACTAGAAGATTTGCTCTATCAAATGCTTACTAGAACTGCTCCAAACGTCCAGTATTAAAAAAACGGCTACGTTGAGGATTTTGCACGAGTACCGCCGAAAGGTACTTTTTCGCTACATTGGCACTATTTCAACGGCTGTATATCCTTTTAAGGGCGATTATGTACTAAAGTAAGAGCAGATTTGGAAATCTTTTCTCTTTCTAAGAAAAGTGATTGATTAGCGTTTCTCAACTTTAAAGGTTACATGTTTATAAATTTAACCCTGAAGAGTCCGTTAACGCAATGTTGAATGGTGTACACCTCCCTGTAAATGCGCACGGACACATTCAGAATTCTCTCGATTGTTCCTGAATTGAGGTTGTTTGTCCAAGGAGCCGTAGTTGAAGCGCGCGCAACAACTAGACCCTTTCTCGGATGCGCCGTGTACCTCACATCCCTTCAGATTCGGGGTCTTACTTGAAAGATGAAATATCTCTTGGAAAGCGTGCGAAATTCAGATTCTTTAACTTGTGTGGTGATAAAACACTGAAGTAACTAAGAATTACCGGACGCCTCAGAATCACGAAAATTTTGTGTGGGTGAAATATCATTTTCATTGGAAATCCTCTGGCCTGGCATCGACTCATCCTTGATATTTGTCTTCCGACGGTGATGATCCCACTGCATCAAAATGGCTCGATCTCTTCCACCCAGCGGGCCAATACGACCCCCCCCCTGCGACGTGTCGAGGATTCCTCAACGCACGCTTGACCCTGGACCACTGCCACTTCGCACATGCCACACTATACGCTTACTGCAACCGTCCGCCGACTCCTGCCTTCTGGCGGCGCGCCGGGTCTGCCTGGGTGGTACCCGAGTTGCGATGTTATTCGGCATCAGTCGCAAGAGCTATGCAGTCCTTCTTTCAATGCAATGGGGACACCATCGTCTGCTGGCGAGGGATTCCCTTATTCGACACGGGTTCATGCTATTTAACTCGCCATATGTCCAAGAAGACCGGCCCACTAATTTATACAGGTTATGACCGCAAGAACTCGCCATAGCATGACTGCTATTCCAGAAGTGGATTAGATACAATGCGGTAGCTAAAAAGCTCGTCAAAACTAGACATTAATCGCAGACAGCTGCCGCAGCTTGCTCCGATGCTCGCACATTTCTGTTTCAGCCCGTGCCTTGCTGGAGAGGAGCAGGAATATGAACCGGACTGAAAATATCGTGGAGAACATGCTCTAAGCAGGCTGTGTAGAAGACGCATCTTACGAGAGCACATCAATTTCACGTTATCCAGGCTTTCAAGGAGGCAAGAAATAAGGAACTCAAAAAGAGCCAGAAGTAGAGTAGCGAAACATCGTTCAATGAACCCGTTTATGAAGGCCATGGACGGAGCGTTTGTCTATATCAGGAATGGAGCGAAAACTGGCAACATTCTGCTCCACCCTGTACACGTCGGACTTGAGCGTAATTAAGAAGGAGAAACCCATTAAAAGAGAAGTGTTGCCTTTCCTCCCGTCAGAGGCACGGCATGTGATACAGGAAATGCCACGAGGCAAAGCTCGTGGCATTTCCTCATCACATAGACGGCATCACATAGAAAAAAGCGTGCATGGTGTCTTCAAGCGCTTGCTAAAAAAGGACACACGTTACCGCGCGTGAAAAGAAACGACTGTCCGGCCGTCTCCCTGTGCATTGGACAGGCTCTCTGGCATACGGTAACAACGTATATGGTCCTGTATTCTTTGAAGCAACACCCCAGATCGAATTTGTGGGGTCACAGCGGTTGATAATGAATTTGTGGATACCAAATTGACTAAACATGAAAAAGAAAAAAGCAAAGAAAGCCGTCGATGAGTAGCAAAACAAAAATTCCCTCTGAAATTGGAAGGGGCGGGGCAAGACGAGTTGCCCGAACCTGCCTGCTCCACGGCTCAATTAACCCGCATGTGTTTG